TGGACTGGTCGGCTCCAAAAATCGGCTTTAGTTCTGTGTATTCTGTCAACACCCGTCCCTCCATTTTTTATCTTCCAGATGACATATATTGTCTGTCATCTGATGTCCCTTTTCTTTGTTGTGGGCTTATACCTTTTAAATCCCTCTACTATAATTCTAATGGTGTCTTAGGAGGGAGAGCAAATTAATGCATGTGGTCATTCTGCCATATTGAACAAATATAGAGCCTTACAATACTTTTTTAAATTTTAATTTTTTAAGTTCTAAAATTAATAATGTTTCTTGTAATTAATTCAGACATTAAAGAATTGTGTATAAAATAAAACTTAAAAGTTTGTTCACCACCCTCACTCCCCAGAGGTGACACTGTTTGGTAAATATCCTTCCAGACTTCTAAAATATGCATATACAAAATCATATACATATACACATATACAAAATAAGGTTTTTTGCTTGATAGATTGGATAGTTGGATTTTATAAACATTTAGATACTGGGTTTTTAAACTTAACATATTGGGCATACTTGCATATCAGCACATAGATACTTAATTTTTTTTGAGATGGGGGAGGGGCAGAGAGAGAGAATCTCAAGCAGACTCCACGCTCAGCATGGACTCCTACATGGGGCTTGATCCCACAGCCCTGAGATCATGACCTGGGCTGAAATCAAGAGTTAGAGGCTCAACTGACTGAGCACACAGGTGCCCCAAAACTTAAATTTTAATGTAAAATTTTTATTGAAATATATACACATATAGAAAGGCAATGGTCTGCTCTTTCTGTATATATGCTATATCTCCTTATTTTTAATAGTTGCATAGTACTCCTATGCAATAAAGAATTTTTTGTTTGCTAACTTTTGCAATTATAAGCAATGCTATAGTAAACATCTTGGAACATATATCTTTGAACTTTTGTGTTACTATTTCTTGATAGAAGTAGGTCTGTTGGGTCAATGGCTATGAAATGTATAAACATTAAGAGATACTACTGAATAGTCCTGCTGAAAAAAATTTGCCAATTTACTTTCCTATTAACAGTATTTGAGAAGGTACAAACTTTTGAGGCAAACTCTCCTTAAAAGGTTGGAGACTCTGCTGTGCATAGTTGAGAACTGGACTCTGTACTGTTTTTTATTTATATTTAATGACTTCACATGAGCTGGTCTTTTCTGTCTTTGAATATTTCAAGTTCCTTAGAGCCTGGGATCATGTCATATACTTCTTTGGTATTTCTTATAGTGCTTAGTACAGGCTGGGCAAACTGGGTGCTTAGTACATACTTAATGATTGACTGATAAACCAGTTTATATTTTGGGCTACACAATCCCTTGAGGTCAGCTCCTGGAATGAGAAGACTGGGCAGAGTCAGAGACTAGGGCTGTGCCGGGTCAGTATCAGATGCTCTCACTTGGATATCAAGTTTAGACCATAATCTAGGAACCTCATTTACATAAAGCACCTAAATTAATCCCTGGCTCAGGAGATTCTTAATAAGTTGTCTTTATTGGTGAGAGAGTAGCCTTAGGGCTAGTGTTGAGGGTTCAAGCCCAGCACCTAAAACCATTCAGGCTGGAGTCAGAAATCCACAGTCTAGAGATGAAACAAAATTGAGAACCAGCAGGAGCAGACAGGTATCAGAGGTGGGAACAGAGGCTAGGTTTGAGTTCAGTTGCATTGTAATATCACCTTCCCTGCCACCCTAGGCATTTTTTATTGGGCTTTCTGTATGTTTAGCTTTTGCACAGTGGCATCTTAAAGGTGTCTTTCAGTCTCTGACAGGAGCCAACAATCCCAGCACAGTGCTGTGAATACGGGAGGTATATAATGAAAGAGAGTCCACTGATCTCTCTCCTGTCGAAATGGATAACGTGGCAGCAGTGTTGGGGATTCACTTGAGCCGATGGTGCTAGAGAACAGCCATCTGGCTAGAGCAAGATTACTGCCCAAGCTTTTCCTCATCAGGGAGTGGGGTGCCTGGGATTGGGACACCAAGAGGTCAGGCAGATAAGGATTAACTTCAGGGACAAATTTAGAGGCTCTGAAAACATGGGGGCACATGGATGACACAGGTTCAACAAAGTGAAGAATGGGTTTCCTTCTTACCTTTCTACCCCTAGTCAGCAGCATAGATAAAGGAGGGAGGCGGGCCATGTTTGTTACATATAGACGTTCATCATAACATATAGCATTGATTGTGTTTCTCTTATATGCCAGACATTTCCTGCACATTATCTCTAATCTCCCTTATAACTCTATGAAGTAGGTATTAGCTCTATTTTACAGAAGTTTATATAAGCTACTGAGGGCCAGGATTTGAATCCAGGTCTATTTGGCCATAAAGCTTTTGTGCCTTCTGCTATACACACCATTCTGCCTCTTCTATGTCAGTCATAGCAGCCCCGACCTCAGCGAAGTAGTTGCTGCCTAAGAACTAGTTGGTTATGTGTGGGCAGGGTGTCCCATGGTTCTTTCCTTTGCTCATCAATTCATTATACAAGTAAGTATTTATTTATGGCCAGAGAGTTGGGAGAGGAGTGCAGGTCAGGTAGGTGGTGTGGGAAGGGACACGTGTGTGGGGGGAGGGCAAGGGGACATGGGAGGGTTGAAACTTGAGAAAAAAGAGCAAAAGAAAGGGGTCATCATGAGCTGGAATGCAGTATGGGGGCTGATTTTGGGGGTCTGTTCGTGCATGCAGTACTAAATGGGTCTTTGGGTGTTTGCAGAAGAAATACCTGGAGCAACACTAGCAGGCAAGCTGCAGCCCACTGGAAGCCCTCAGGCCCGCACTTTATACTGACACATCCACAAACACACACTCACAGGGGAGCCATAAATATGGAGACAGATATCTTTAAACAGGCACACCAAAATGTATACTGCACAATGGAAGCCAATTGCAATGGTTTTTCTAGTGCTCATCTTGTGACTGTTAACTCCCCTTCAAGGGAACCAAAGCTCATATGGATACGTAAAGTCTGGGAGGTTTGTTGAGAGGAGAAGGAAAGAGAAGAGAAAAAAGAAACAATCTCATTTTATAGTCACAATTTAGTTGTGTGTGTGCATTAAGACTTCCAGGATTATATGAAATGATGTAACTATAGAGAAGGAACTGCTATGGAATGTTTGTCCATATAAACCTTACTTATGTTTCTTTTAGTGGTAAACACTAGTAATAACAGATAGTAATAAAACAAGCCTGACCTACACAGCCACTTAATCCCAGAGGGATGTGACCCAGAGCAGGGTGGGGCAGAGCCCAGGAATGTGTTGCTGTGACACATTGATTCCAGGACTCCCTGGGCTTCACCTGCGCCTGAGATATGCACAAAGTATGTTTGGAAGCTGCAGAGATTTATTTGTGACTGCTCCACAGTCAGGGGGATGGCAGCTAGGGTAAGCATGCTATTCATAAGGGCATCTAGTGTACACAGGCTTGAGAATCCAGGGGTCTGATGGGGCTGAGGGAAGTTCCTCTCCCTTCCATACCAAGCGTGCGCAATACCAGCACCCTCCAGGATTCAAAGGGGGAGAATTGGAGACAATGATACTGATCATACAGTTTATAGGGAATAGAGCAATGATTATAATCAGCATGAGTGCTAAGGAACAATAGAAGCTTTATAAAGACATACTTTACCCTACAAATTAATTATAACACATCTCTCTCATAAGAGAATTACCTAGTGATTTTTTAATCCTTTTAAATTTTTGATTGAAGGGTGGTGCCATGAAAGTGTCAAATGTAATTATCATTAAATAGCTTTTTTTTTAATATCACGTGGGACCCAAATACTGTAAAGGAGAAATAGTTCCTGACCATGTACGTGGTCCTTCAACTAACACACGCAAGAGCTGCCTTGGGAAGAGCTTTGGCAGTCTCCTCTGTATTAATTGCAAATACTCTCACCCTAGAGAAACTTGATTCAAGTTCAGGAAAATAGCTAGCAACCTAGGCACTGTCCCCAACAGTGTGACGGGTAAGGAGAGGCCACCCTCAGCCCTTTCTCATATTTCCCCTTATATTTGGAAGCCAAGAGCGATACTAGTGGAAACAGACCTAATGTCTTTTAAAGTCCGCTGTATAATATTCATGCCCTGATTCTCAACTGTTTTTCCCACTCCAGTCTCAAACTTCTTCTAAAGGATGCGGCTCACTCTGGATCAGTAGCAGTGGCTCATTGTGGCAGTAGCTGCAGAGGGGGGAGGCAGAAGGAAAGAATCAATGTGGTTGGTGGGTGGGGATTCTGCCTTGGATCCCCGCCCCCCTCCAATTATCATAAGCTCTCCAAAGCGAACAGTAATTTACAACCTTCTTGGCAATCCTACTTCATTTCCTACCTGGAAGAATTTAAGTCCTGTCAGTAGAGTTTCTCTAACTTCATACAGTCAATTACTTGTTTTCGGTACTGCAAAATGATTCTACGTTCCTGGGGACAGCTATCCCTTTCAAGTTTCTTTTTATGTTTGTTTGTTTTGTTGCAGAAGCCTTAGAGATGCAGGCCAGGGTGACTGGGACAGAGGTGAGGTCCCTAACTAATGAATGGGACTTGGGAGGCAGAGGACTTGTTTTTATGCTGAAAAAGAGTAAAATCCGGAGTAGCGGTTGATTTCATGCACGTACGGCCGAAGAGGCCCAGGGCGGACCTAGTATGGGGTGAGCACCCGGATCTGTGAGCCAGTGTTGCTTCAGCGTCTCACCCTGTGTGTGAGAGGAGGCTGGTAGCCCTCCTTGTCCCATCAGCACTACCCTTCACTTCCGTCTCTGCATAACTATATCAGTAGAAAGCGACACTTCCCACAGTGGCGCTCGGACCCCAAAGGGAGGCTGGCAGTGGCTTGGCAGGTGGGCACGAAGCCGGGAGATGGGTGGGGGAGTGGGGCGGAGGCAGCGTCGAGTGGCGTTTGGGATAGCCAATGGTAGTTCGGGGCAGGGGAGGCAGGGGCGGAGGCGCCGAGGCCGACCAGCCAATGGCGGGCGAGCAACTACTGGAACGACCTGGTGACGTGAGGAGCGTTCCATTCGGCCAGCGGTGGGCGGTTGCCACAGCTGGTTTAGGGCCCCGACCATTGGGGCCCCTTGTCAGGAGGAGGCAGCCTCCGGGCTGGGGAGGAGAAGTCGCTGCCACCCGTGGCAGCTGACGCGTTCCCCTGGGACGGTGCACTTCCTGCCCTCAGTTCCCGGCCGAGTTCGGTCTCCCGGGTTCAGGTAACGAGGGGTGGGGGTTGGGGTCTCTTGGGCTCGGCCGCATGGTGGGCTGCCAACCCCTCCGCTGCGCCCGGCCGCGCGGACATAGGCACCCGCCCTTCTCAGCGGGGCTGCCGCCGAGCCCCTGACCGCGGGTGACTACACGTGGCGGGGCGTGTGTGAGTGTGTACGAGCGTGTGGAGGTGGCGCGCGTCCCAACCTTCCTGGGGCGGTGGTCGGCTGCGTGGCGGAGGCAGGGCTGGCCTCCCGAGGCCGCGCCCGCCGCCTGCCCAGGACTCGGGCCTCCGGTCCCCGGCTGGTGGGCCGGTCGCTGGCTCTCGACCGATTTTGATCTTTGTTCTCCCAGGGCCCGGCTCCCCTTCCTGGTCTCTCTTCTCCCGCTGGGCCGGTTTATCTGGAGGAGATTATTTTCCAGGTTAGTTTTACACAAAGGAAGTGTTCTCTGCACCTCTGGTGCTCCCTCCCTTTGGCCAAGCCTTCTTGCTTTCTCATTTCCCTGCTCATCTCCTGGTTTCTATTTGGACCCTTGCCCTCTCCAGCCCGGAATGATTTCGGGTTGGTTGTTTCTCATCAGTCAGGCAGCCTGCAGCTTCCACCTCATTCTTGCCAGCGTGGGGCATGTGGTGTCAGTAAACAGAAGCCACAGCACCACACCTGAGAGGAGAAGGGTGGCAGTGGTTGAGAAAGGCTGGGCCTGGGGGTTCAGGATGCCAAGTAGAGATGGCAGTTATGAAATGTCCCAGAAAGCAAGCACCTTTATGACTTTTCTTAGCTGCTGCCATGTCCACCCACCCCCACCCGCAACCATTCCAGAACCTCTCCTGCTTAAGTCAGCCTTTCACCTACAGATCTGTGATGTGGTTTCATTAAGATTCCCACAAATGTTAGGCTAGACTGGCAAGATTGGTTCATTTCCCGAACTCAGGAAGTTACAGAGGGTTTGATTAGGGGAAATCTGTTTTGAGTAAATACAACCTGGGTATGTGTACAGAGTGTCCAGAACCTCCTAGCCCTGCCAGAGGGTGACTTGTTCCCGGGTGTGATTCATATTTGAGTGGCTAATTGAAGAAAGAAGGTGAAGTGGAGGAGGGGAGGGAATGGCTCCTTAAGGACAGAAACTCTACTATTGTTTTTAGAGTCCTCTTACTGATGATTATAGAACAGTGTGGTATACTGGAAAGTGCCCTGGACTGGAAGTCAGCAGATGTGTTTTCTTGGCTTAGCTTTGCAGCTGTGTGACCCTGGACAAGTTATTTCCTCTCTTTGGTCTTAACTTTACTCATTTCCAAAACAAAGTAATTGGGGTTATCACCCATAAAATCCCTTCTAGTTCCAAGGTTCTATGATGATCAAATGAACAGTATTATATTGGAAGCATAGGGATTTATTTAAGAAGATATGCTAGCTCCCTTCCTTTTTTTTGGGAACCTTTAACCTTTTCTCCTTTTAGGGGACAAACAGATTGGAAATAAACTTTTCCCGCTTCCCTACCCTTACCCCTTCAGGCAGTGCTCATCTTTCCACCTCTGGGAAAGGAGGATTGAACTGCATTTTCTTGTTCCTGCCTCATTTTTTTTCCTTTTGTGCTTTTTCTTAGGGCTAGAAATTGGACTTTTGATGATGTTTGACCCCGCGGCAGCAATAGAAGGCATCGTGATTTCAAAGCTGGGCTCAGCTTCTGTTTCTTCCCTCTTGTAATCACAAAGCTCATTTTGGACCAGGAATTCCAATCATGTCTGTGATGGTGGTGAGAAAGAAGGTGACACGGAAATGGGAGAAACTCCCAGGCAGGAACACCTTCTGCTGTGATGGGCGAGTCATGATGGCCCGGCAAAAGGGCATCTTCTATTTGACCCTCTTCCTCATCCTGGGGACATGTACACTCTTCTTCGCCTTCGAGTGAGTTTCCATTGAGTAGAGTTACCTGATTATGGTTACTTTGGGTCTAGAGGAAGAACCGTCTTTCTGGGAAGTTTGTGGATGGTCCTTGGATGGCACTATCCTCTTGAGCAATGTCCTTAGATCATGCCAACCGAATTCATTTCTTTGTGCTTTTAGCAGAGTACCTGCTTCCTAAAAAGGCCAAGACCTTTGACCCCAATTTTATAGCACTGATTTGGCGTTACCCTTGGCACACTTGGGAAATAAAGGAATTTGTCTTTGTTATTCACCTCTCTTTTTCAGTGGTCTCCTTAGTTGCTTAGTGGCAGACTCCCTCTTCCCCACCCCTTTTGGGCCTAGGGGCAGCCCTCATGGTCATAACTCGATACCACAAAACTCACCTATTCTGTTATTCTGGGTCCTATTTCCTTAGGGCTCAGCTGTCTGCTAGCGATTAAATTGAAAAGCCATCAGAATTGGGGACCTACAGATCAGTTCCAGCCTCAACTGTGCCACAAACTAGCCGCATGTGTGGTACATATGTGCTTATTAAATGTGAGTTTCACTCAGGATCACTCAACATAAACAATTCTGTATTCTGTGTGTGCCTCATACCAGCCTTGGAGTTATTTTTTTCTGCCATGTAATAGCTAGTACTAGAGCCACTGTTTGAATCCTGTATAGGTCACTGCTCTAGGGAGGTGGCCAGTTGGATTCTAGGGTACTATGGCATGACTGCTGGGTGTGCTGAGAATACTGTATACTCTAGGGATGGAAGCAATGCTAATTGGTTTAGGATTATTATGAGGAGGGCTCTGAGGAGCCAAGAGGTGTGTGTGTAGACTGGGAGCCACACCTGATATGAGCCTGCTATAGTTCATATACTAGAATGACCTGAAAATGGAGCTCCCATGCTGGGGTGTGGCCATGGGAGGGAGGAGGGGGCTCCTTGGCCAGCCTCTGTGGGTAATTAAAATGAGCTCTGGTCTCTTGGAGCTCATTTTTGCCCTTCTTTTGTAAGGGCTCCAGGCTTTCCCAGTGCATCAGGAGTGATTTTTCAGGCTGCTTTGCCAGACTTTTTGATGGTTGAAGCTGGCTTGAATAACAGCAGGGGGAGGAGGGGGCAGTTTATAACAGGGCTAGGAAAGGAAGGTCAGAGAGGCTCTTTGTCAAAGGCACTTTTGCTGCTGCTGTTGCTGCTGACTTTGTGAAGTATTTGGCAAAGTCGGTTGGTGATGGCTTCTTAGCTGCTTTCCAGTCTGAGGTTTATGGTGGAGCGTGTTATGTGTGTACTTGTGTGTGGTACAAGTGAGCATGTGCGGTCAGGCAGGCGTATGTGTAACATTAAAACAAAATGTTTCCCCTCTCACCCTTCTCTCCAAGTTGTTTGTTTTTTTCTCTTTATTCCTGCCTTGCTGCTTTTTGGAAGTACAGAGCTGAACTCTGCTCTCTATCATTCTCCCTCTCTTTCCATCCTCCTGCTGCTGAATCACTAGCTCTTTCTGCCACCACACCCTTCCATCTTAGAGTTAAATTTTTGTGGTTGGAGCCATTTGAAACAGAGATGAGATTTGTTTTCAGGCCCTGAGTGAGCTGGTAATTCTGGGTCCGGGAAACCTCTGGTCCAGGGGAACTTGAAATTTGGAGCTATTGGCGCTTGGCCCTTTTTGTATCTGGGAGCCAGACAGAGTCTGATTTGGATCTGTCCCACTTAGGCCCCAGAAGCCTCTGAACAAAACTGCCTGTGGGATGAAGCTTATAATTAGCCAAGTTACTGTTTGACGGAGGCAGGTTGAGTTTTCTACCAAGATGACTTTTTTTCCCAAGTTATTTCTTGTGCTTTGCCCTCAGATATGAAGGGTAAGGTTGTCTGTGAACTGCCTTGAGTTCCAGCTATCTGTGTGATAGAGTAAATATTTTTTTAAAGATTTTATTTATTTATTTGAGAGAGAGAGAGAAAGCAAGCAAGCCAGGAGCAGAGGGAGAGGGACAAGCAGACTCTGGGCTGAGCGCGGAGCCCAATGCAGGGCTCCATCCCACAACCCTGAGATCATGACCTGAGCTGAAATCAAGAGTCCAACGTTTAACCAACTGAGCCACCCAGATAGAGTAAATATGTTTGTGGGTAGGGCTGGGGGGAGGGAAAAGGGAGAGGAGAAGGGAGAAAGAAGTTAACGTGTGAGCGAAGGAGTGGAATGGGAAAGCATAAAGCTGACCAAAGGGGAGAGGACCCTGGTGATGAATCGTTTTACTGAGAGTGGTGGAATCTGTTTGTACACATGTGCACGTGTTTGTGTGTGTGTGTGTGTGTGTGTCACATACAGACACACAGACACTCTAGGTGGTGGCTGCCTTATGCCTAGCTAATGACAGGCTGTACAAAGGACACTAGCATACCTCTGAGGCATGCAATCGCTTTCTGGTCGACCTTTTCCTTTGGAGTATATAATTCACTACCAACCACACAGTGGGGGATAGGATTTGGGGGGCAGAATATGGGCCCCTTTGTTAGCATTAGAATTTAGGGAGACCTCAGGAAATCAGCTGATCTAGTCCCCTGCCTTCAGGCAGGTGAGGGCATCTGAACCACCAGTGACAGAGGACTATTTTCATCCTCAAATTGTCGAGGAGTGTCGATTCCACATCCTCTGGCCGCTGCATTTTTGCCTTAGGGAAGTCTAGATCTTGCTGCACATCTGGACCTGCATTTTTGTAATAGGGTCTTGCCTGCAGCAGGTGCTTAGGAACAAGTGCAAGTTGATTTATAGCTGCCCATTGCACAGCCTTGGGTCAGCCAGATGGCTGGGGAAATCTGGTCAGGCATGTGGGCACCCCTTGATGAAAAACATGCAGTATTAGTAGTGCCAGTGGATATCTTTTTATTTTGGGATTTTGCCTTTACACGTTTAGACTTCTCAAAGGAGGGACCTGTAATTTTCAGTGGACAGACAGTATAGGTTGAATATATAAAATGAAAGAAGGTTGTCCATCTAGGAGCTAGCTAGCTCTGTATTGTTAGAAGTGTTTCCAGAGATACTCGGTGGCCATCTCCCAGGGCTGCTGTCACAAAGTAGATTCCTGCCTGGGATGGGAAATTGGGCTAGATTATCACTAAGCCTCCTGCAAGTCTGAGAGTCTGAAATTCTGTGTAACTGTTGTGTTTGTCTGGAAGATTAAAATATACACACTGAAAAGGAATGGTTGGATTACCAGTAGGTAGCTGTATTTAAATATATTTCATATTTAAATGTAACTGTAACTATGGTAAACGTATTGACTTTAAAAGCAGAGTGAAAATTGTGCAGTGCTTAAAAAAAGGATTTCCTAATTTATTTTTAGGGTGAGGTATTTAGGAAATGTGAGTGGATATGCCAGTTTCAGCTTTGACCACATGAACCATTCTCCTTCTTTTCTGCCCAAACCCTGTCTAGCTTGTCTGAACAAGTAGCCACCAGCTTGGCCGGTAATGTCAGGACATTATAGTGGAATGGCACTGACAACTGTGAGGTGTCCAGCTACTCAAAGACTATTGTGGTGTTTAGTTAAATTCAACTTCCTGATAAAGCTTGGAGGAAGGACCAAGTGCACTGTCTTCTGGAATTGGCTTCCTAGCTGTCTCTTTTAACTTTATGACCAGATTACAGGTGGGGTCAAGGTACCCAGACTTCTCTTGTGACAAGAATGACTGTGTGACTCTTGACCCCTGAAGTAGAAGCACTTTGCTTCTACGATCAGCACTTATGCCTCATCGTGCTGTATGTAGAGGAAATTGTATCAAGGCACTATTGAACCCTGTTGGACTGACCCTTGCAGGTGCTTTTGATATGTAGAGGAGTCATTGAATTGGATGAACTGAAAAAAGCTTTGTAGTGCTGCTTCATAATTGACCCACTTCTAGTCTATGCAAATTCTACCTCTCTTTCAAGTCCCTTCTTGAGTCTTCCTTCATGAAGCCTTTCCAGTAATTTCTGCATTTGTAGGACTAATTGTACATACTGCTCATTTAACACATCATCATATGACATTTCTTAGATTTCTAAATTCTATGATTATTACACTTTGAGCTCTTTCAATGTCAGGGACTATCTCCTATGTCTGTATAGCCCCCCACGGTGCCTTCCACCAGACCCTATGTAGAGTAGGTGGTCAATAAAGGTGACTGAATTAATACATTCTGGATACACTTAAAATATAACAGTATTGACTCACAGAATCATAGAATGGTAGAACTGGAAGGGGTCTTGGAGACTATCGCTATCCTTTTGCAGGTAAGGAAATCAGGCCCACAGAAGAGAGGTCCCTTTATTGAGATCAGTCAGCCAGCCAATGCCTCTATATGACACTACCTTTCATCTCATTGTTATCTTTTGACTATGGAATCCTGAAGACATTCAGATTTACTAAAGTGTACATAGTGCCAAATGCTAGACTAGCATATTCTGGGTTCTTCCTAGCTAGTAATTGTGTTACCTAGTGGCATCTAGGTTATTTGGGCCTCCCCAGCTCATGCTCCTAGGAAGTGAAGGTGTCTTTGTAGAAAACTAATAGCATTCTGGCATAGCATTCTGGTAGTCTTGCAAGAACAGAGAAGCCTATGTTTAGTGTGAACCTAGAAAGGAAGTTTTGTGGGTTAGGGGGGATCATCACCTCTGTGGCTACTCATAGTCCCTGATGCCCGAATGAGGATGGCTTGGAGAAAAATTAAGCAATGTGTTCTCCCTACCTCATTACCATGTGGGTGATCCTGATGAGAGGGGCATGATGTCCCTGCAGAGAGATGGAAGAGAAAAAGCAATATGACAACACAAAGTTACCAGGTTGAGGGAACACAGAGCTATGTAGACCAAAACCAAACTGACATGGCAGAATATTTGTGTCTATAATTCCAAGGTCCAGGTTCCTGAAGTTACTTACATGAGATTGGGAGGAGGAAAAAGTGGCTTTATCATGATCTCTAACCAAGAGAACATTCTCTGGAAAATTCTTCTATGGAGGTTCTGTCTTGTGCTTTACCTAGC